CAAGGGTCACCTTGGTGACTTCAAACTACATACTGAAACTTCCACTTCTTATTTCTTGGAACACAGACATCTCCCAATTCCCTAACTCTGCGGGAGAGGAAACTAGCTTTTCCACCCTAAGGCCACTTGTGCTCTCTGAGACCCACATATACGATTTTCCATTGCAAAGGCCGATAAGACTTCATTCTATTCCCTAGCCATAGAAATATCTCTCAAGATTTGCCTATGGGTGGATTTTAAAAGTTGAAAATAACAACACTTCATCAAATTGCACACTTGCAGTTGATAATATGTCACTTATAACTCAATAAAGTTATTTAAAAAAATGAGGATCCTTGACCATAAGGCCACCCTCCCTCTGCTCAAAGTAAGCCAAAGGAATAATCTCAAGCAGGTGAAAATCAATTTCAGAAAGCATTGGGGAGTCTGCTCTATATTAGAGATAAGGAATTGGGAGAGGCTCCAAGATCTACTCCAGAGCATGGCTACCATTATTTAGTCTGGAAAAATGCTAAATGAGGCATAACCAAATACTCACCCAGTCTCATTAAAAAAAAAAAAAAAAGATCTCACTAAGGTCACACAACAGTCCTTCTGGCTTTGAGGAATGTAACTTCCCGACGTAATATCAAGATAAACCAATGTAAAACACTGTGTAGGCGTAGGTAGTAAATGATGGGAGTATTAGCTGAAAAACGTGGAAGCTTGTAACATCTAAAAACCAGTTTGATTTTCGTTTAGAACCTTTTGTTCTGAAGGTTCTTAGGTTGCTCATTTATTTGATATTTACTGAGAGACTACTACCGGCAGGACGTCAGGGCACTGAGGCAAACCAGAAAGACAAGGTTCTGGCCCTTGTTCTAATACAGCTCACATTCTAATGGAGGCAGGGAGGGTTGGGAGACAGTAATCATATCAACAAATAACTTAAAATAGTTGCAGAGAGTAAAAAGTGTTATGAAGGAATAACAATAACAATGACGATAATAATCATAGCCATCACTTATACAGCTCTAACTAGGTGCCAGGCACTGTTCTTAAGTATCACCGGAATTAACTTTCCCTATAAAGCTGTTCTATTACTTTACAAACGGGAAGACGAGGCCCAAGTCACTCAGACAATTAGTGGTAGCGCCAAGAACTGAATTCCGGCCATCTGGGTTCAGAGTCCAAGCTTTTCCCCACTGTCACATCACCATGTGTGCGTGAGTGTGTGTGTGTGCGCGTGTAAGAGGATAAGGTGGTGAGGGAAAGTCTGTCAGAAGAAGTGACATTTGAGCAGAGATCTAAAGAATGGGAAATATGGCCCTTCTTTCTGGCCTAACTAAAGAGTAAGTATAGTGGTCTATCAGGCCATACCTACTTCATGCCATCTGCACATAAGGAGTTTATTTTTATATCTACAGCAGAGGAGCAAGTTGCTAAATATTTTTTTGTTGTTGTTAAAAAAAACTGGGCAAGTGCTATTTCAAATGAACGACTAGAGATCAAAATAAAATGATAGAAAAATTTATAGTCCACCATAAGCCTACAATACACAATAATGTTTGAAAAACATCCAAAATTCCATATTTAGCACTTACTTCATTCAAACTTTTTGCTTGCTAAGAATCATGTCATCCTTGTCCAAACGACTGTTAAACTTGAATGAGTCAGCTCTGAATTTGTGAGGTTAAAATCTTCCATTCTATTTTGTAGAAGACTGGTATTTTTGAACAAAGAAAGAAGCAAGCTACTGATTTCTTTTTTTACACTGCATTCAGTCCTTGACAAATATACCGTTTTATATATATCCTGACATAGTGTCTTCAAGAATTCCCTGGATTTCCCCCAAGAAACTCCTACCACTCACTACTTTCCAGCTCACGCAAGTCTAGGAGAATCCTGTATAATCCACAAACTTGACAGCTTGACTAGAGAGGGGTCTGAGGAGAGACTCTCCAGAGGGGAAGAGCGAATGTGATCAAAGCAAGAGAATCCTGATCTTAAGAGCTTAAACAAAGGCTCCAAGGGACACAACTCGAGCCATTCTTTCCCCTACTCCCTGCCCCCAACCAGAGAATCTCCCCTGTTCAAATCTTGAAGAATTCTGTACTTTAATAAGAGGTCATTTGTTTGCAAGTCACTATACCACAGCCACCATTTTATACCTTATTCTAACACAGGTAGAGATTGTAGTCCACATTTATGGGACGTTGAGGGAGAAGACAAAGGATAATTGAAGACAAGAAAGGATGGCAAACTATTCCAACAGCATTTCTCACTATCTCAATCCTCCCATTCAGTTCTCTCTTCACCCACCTCTAATGCTCAGCTTCTTTTAATTTACCCCACCCCCTAATTCCACAGATGAACCTCTGACCTTAGAGATTCTACTCCAGGTCCACAATCCTAGCCCGAGACCCACCCTATTTAGAGTTTCTGCCACAACCAAGTTCCTTGGGAATTTCCATTACCAAAGCCAACCAGTAGGAGTGGAGGGGGAGTTCCAGCTTCTGCCGACAGGCCTGTGGCAAACACAGATGTTGCTGTGGAGACTCAGAATTCAATTCTGATCTCCTTTCCCTTATTATCCGAGGTGGTGAGATTCTTTTATTCAATCATTCCTATACTCTGGCATACTCTAGGTCACAGTCTTATCTGAGCTCCAAACCACAATGCATAAGACATAGCAGTGCCAGATCCTTTGAGAAATGTTATCACGTTCAATCTTCTCAAAACATCTGGAGGGTAATAGTTTTTGGCAGCACTGTGGAAAAAGTAAAAGTACCTAACACTGCTGGAGACTTAAATGTATGTTTACAAGATATCAGAAAATGATTGACACATGAATTTTTGTGACGCAGCCTGTTTCTTCATTGGGGACAGTATGGGCCCTGAAGTGGTTTACAGAGCAAGAGAAAGACCATATTCAGGAAAAAGGTGCTGATTCATTTAGTTGGCTTTACTTCACCTGCCTTGTAAGACAGTCTATACTTTATTTAAATAGTTGAATGTCGGTAGGTTGCTATTGAAACTTGCCTCCCCTTTATTCCCCTAAAGGCTCAACCAGGTATCACTAATCCCCAGATGCTCCGCCTCTAGGAGAAACTTCAATCTGATGGCCTGACAGGAGAGAGACGTTCATAGTCTCCCAGAGACAGATGATTTGTTTACCTTGTCTCGACTGGCAAAATTCTGGTTCAAATGAGGAAGATACTTATTTGAGAGAAAAGAGGCAGAAGAATGAAAATATTTTGCACTTGGGCACAAGTTTATTTTTCCAACTTAAGTCAGAGTAAATAATCCTAATGACTCGAGTGACTCTAAGTAACTCTGGATTTGCTGCAGTGCATCTTTTATATCTATCTGTGTAATTCTACACCTGCCCAATCACAAAAGCATAGCAATCCTTTTTCATGCATCACAAACCAAGTATTGGCATGTAATATTGATAATAACTAACAAGTAAAGACAGGCTTTCATGACTAATCTTTTGCTCACCCATGCTCTTCAGTGTAACTATTCAAATACTTGGAAATGTGGGTAATTTTCCATGACCCACGGTTAGAATATATAAATAATGTACAAGAAGGATTGCCTGAGAGTTAAGAATTTTTTTCTGTTGTTTACTTTCAAAGGAGGAAAAATATTTCAATAAACAGGAACATCTGAAGAGTATGGATAAAATTCAAGGCTTGTACATGGTTTGAATTACTTTTCCATGGATATACGGTAGTCAAACTGATTTTTTATGGAAACTTTGGTAATCTCACTGTCTATGGGGGAAACTGAGTGCTGGCTACAACAACACAATTTGTCCTGTTAGTTTTCAGAATCATGCCAAAGCAAATGCTTCAGATAAAAAGATGGGAAAATAAGTGATGGTGGTTTTTCTTTTTCACATGCTTAAGCTTATCTTGAACAAGAGAATTACTTTCAATTCCCCAAAGAATCTGTGCTATCTCTTACTTTTGGCTTTTGCACATTCTGGTCTTCCCGCATGGATGTTCTTCCTGCCATAAAAATGCACCTTTTCCATTTCTCTTGGTTAACCCCTATTTATCCATCACACAGAAATCCACTAAGATGCCACTTCTTCCCAGAAGCCTTCCATGACCTCAGCTGAGCTTGTATGGTTGTTTGAGCTGTGTTTCATTCTTTGAAAATGCCTTCAATTTTGTTTTCAGCACAAAAGTCTTATAACTAAATTACGTGACACTTTATCCGTGACATAATGAAGGTCTATTGTAACTTGTAACTTCCTAGTTCATTTTTAATCTGTGTTATTCCTTAAAATAATACAACCATGTTACTTTATACACCTCCTCTAAAAAGACCTCACTAAGTCAGGTTGGTGGTAACTTTTCTGAGCAAAGCTAATTAAAAGGGGGAGGGGGGCTAAGTAGTAGCTGGGTTGGAATGGAGGGAGATTCATTCATTTATTTAATGTTTATCAGGGGCCTACTCTGTGAATTACTATTCTAGTTCTGATAATGTGGCAGAGAATGAAAGAAATAAGTAAACAAACAGATACACCCATCTCCCACATTACTCAGGAACTTTATCAACCATCAGATCCCAAAGTTGGCAAATGGAACACAACACCAGTACAGGTACTTATAGGAAGCATACAGTAACTTTTAACAAGACACAGGAATGCTTCTAGCAGGGGCTAAAGTAAAGAGTTTCAAACTTTTCACAGTCTTCAGTAATTGCAGGGCAGGATGGAGGAATTCTTTCTAATCCATCCAGTGATCTGGAACAGGGCATTCCTTGTACTTTGTTTGGAGGACATTTTTTTCAATAGGCTAGCTTTTCATCATCCCCCACCCCCATTTTATTAAGATATAATTGACATATAACATTGTATTACTTTAAAGTATACAACATAATGATATGATGTATGTATATATTGCAAAATGGTTGTGAGGACTTCTTAATACTCAAATTGCATAATTAATTTTTTTATTTACTAAGCTGAATACTAACATGATTGACGTTTCCACAGATTAACTTACCTCAACATATGAAATTGGAAATATTCCTATTTTGTCTGCTAACATTCCTTCAGCCCAGTTTTCATCCACTCTACGGATCACAGTCAGAACATCATCCTGAAAAAACAACAAACATTAGTCTACCTGATCCCATTAAGCTTGTGACAATTTTTCTTTTCAGTAAAGACAATCAAGTTTTAAGAGTACATGAATAAAAATGATAGGACATATCTTTTGTATATGAATCCAAAACTTTCATGAATTAAACAGTAACTCTCAGTCAACTTGCTGTCCTTTCAGACAGTTGTAAAATTATGAACTCTTTCTATGCAAAGGGTTGGCTGCTTATTTTGTTTAGATTCACAAACTGCAACCTCAAATGCTACCCACCCCAGCCTCTTGAACTTTTGTTTAAGATTAGTTCTCAATCTTTTCTCCCTTTCTCTCTGATAATATACCAAATGCCCATTTAAGTGGATATCCTACTGCTTTTCTTTACCGAAAACACAGTATGCTGCTTAAAATTCCAAAGCATTTTCTTGGTTCAACAGATATACTCCTGTGTACTTTTCAGCAAAGACATTTACATATAAAATAAGAAGTAATGATGTTTCATTTTGTTATTCATAATTCAGTGAATTAAAATCCCTGAATGGCACATATACCCTGTAAAGTAGCTTAGAATTAAATTTAGGTTCTAAATATGAAAATGACACCGCATATAGCAACAACCAAAATTATCTTTCACATAAGAACAGTCTATGCATAAAATTACTTTCTTTGTGACTTTATGAAGACCTTCCAGGTATTTTTAGAAGCACAGTGATAGTTCTCAAAAAACTACTGTAGCTTTTTGCAAAAGGAAATACAAGCCATATTGCCACGTATCCAGGTACAGAGGAAGAGCTGGCGAACGGAAAACCATCTCATTCTAACTTTACCTTTGCAAACGGAAGGCAATCTTTGTCTGCTTCCTTGTCTTTCACTTCAAAGTCATAAAGTGCTTTGCACTGAGGTGGGGGCTGAGGTAATGGTTTGATAATCTGCACAAAGTTGGTGGGGAAAAAGCCATGGATCCCGTTGACTTCTCCATGGTACCAATTTTCATCCACTTGTCGTCGCAAGATGATGATGTCACCTTTGCTGAACTTAAGGTCTCCAGGCTCTTTCCCTTCGTAGTTGTATAATGCTTTGGCACATGGTAACTGAGGTATACCCTTAAGGAAAGAGATGAGTTTTAATGAAACAATGGTCCAAAAATGTCTGAAAATTTAACTGTATTATCATTGTTTTTTAAGTCAAGGTCAAATCAACGCTAGGAAGAAAATCTCACATAAAAAACTAAACATGTGTGTCACTAAGAAACAGCAAACATCAACAAATGTCACAGCAGACCATCCACGCACTCTCTGCAATTTAGACCTCTACTCCCAAGCTTAAGTTAGTGGGAGATTTGCCTTGTTTAGGGGTTTTAGTACACGAAAGAACAATGACCAAGTTTGGCTCCCTGGTGTAAAATCAGAAAAACCATAAAAAACAAAATGAATTTCTGATATGAACTACTTTATTCAGCAGGATAAATGATAAAAACTGAGAAGAAATTTAAATAGAAGCATAATTCATTAATTCACCAATTGCTTTTAAGCTTGATTGATAAGCAGTTTGGCCTTTGGGTAAAACTTTTGCAACTGCTTTTCTTTCTTTTTTTTCCTGAGGAAGATTCGCCCTGAGCCAACATCTGTGCCAACCTTCCTCTATTTTGAATGTGGGTCACTGCCACAGCATGGCTTGCCGAGTGGTGCAGGTCTGTGCCTGGGAACTGGACCCGGGCTGCCGAAGCAGAGCATGCTGAACTTAACCACTAGGCCATGGGGCCAGCCCTCCTACTGCTTTTAATGTGGGAAGTAGATCTTATTCTTTCAACTCAACAAGTATTTACTGAAGGCCTACTACATGTCAGGATCTGACACAACAACGAGTAAGACAGTCATTGTCACTGCTCTCTCACAGTTTATAATCTGTGATCGTCCCGACATACGGTCTTTTACAATCTATATTAAGATCATTCAACTTTGCTCTTTTCTGGTTAGAGAGCACCATCAGACTGATATGCTAAGAGATGAGGTGTTAAATGTTACTGCATTGTATTATGGTTTTAAATGACAAGTTTAAAAATGTGTGTGTAGCCGGAAGGCAATCTAACTATCAAATGGGTTAAATGTGATACTTCCTGATGGCATTGAGGTACCCATTCTTGAGTGTCAGTTGTCATTTTAAGATCTCTGGGCTCTCCGGGACACTGCTGCCTATCACCGACTCAGAGGATAAATAGCAAATCAAAGATACCTATAATAATTTGACGAACGAGATTACTGGGCTCCTGCTTTTCATATTCTTAAATCCTTCATTCATTCATCCAGAAAATATTTATCAAGCTTTTACTTTTCATTAGGCAATGTGCTAGTGCTGAGGATTTAAAGAGGAATAGGGTACAGTTCTTACCATTAAGGGATAAAATATTAGAATTAATGACAATACAGTGCAGTGAATGCATTGATAGAGATATGCTGGAGGAACAGAAAGCATAGGTCTCTGGGTTTTGTGGGTGGGAAAATCAAACACTTCCTAGAGGAAGTGACACATGACCCAAGTCTTAAAGAATACACAGGAGTCAGCCAGGCAAAGCGGGAGAGGAAGAATGAAAGAGAATAATCAGGGCATTCCAGGCAAGGCGAGAGCACCAGCAGAGACATGGAGCATATCGTGCAGAGGGACTGGGGCTTTATAAAGAATGCAATGTTCATTGAGAGGAATTATGGAATATAAAGTGTAAGAGAGGTAGGTAGAAGCTAGTTTATGAGGGTCTTTAATGACACGTTGAAGAGCTTGAACAATGAATGAATGAAGAGCTTGGCAATGATAAGCCACTCACAGGTTTGAAGAACAGATGGGGGATCAGAATCATGTGTCAGACAGATGAGTCTGGCAGAAGGGAGGAAAATGGACAGGAAGTGGGCAGGCAGGAGGACAGCTATGTGCAAAGCACAGGCCTAAACTAGCTGAAGTTTTTTTTTAAGTTTAATCTTTCTAATGAAGTAAAACAATATGGAGTATTACTCACATTACTGCCCTCTCCCTGCCTGCTCCCCCAAAAAGCGAATCAAAGTTTTATACCTTTGATGGCAACAGAACTTCATAATACAATTTTTAAAAATTGGTTTGGTTTCTACACAGAGATTTAGAGTCTGGCCTACTCAAAAGTCAAACTTTTTTGTTAAATATTTTTGTTTGGCTTAAGAGGAAGAGCCAGTTCTTGGCTCTTAAAACGCAATTGGCAGTCATCTTGTCTTGGTTTGGTCCACGTGATGTTGTGTTTGGTTAATCAGAGCTGCTCTAGAAGCCAACATCCTGGGAAGACAGCAGGTGAGCCTTCCAGAAGCCCTGAAACCCTCATGTACCCTCTGCCTTTTGGACCCTGCCTTAAGATCCTGCCTCTAATGGCATGACTACTGGTATCCAGCCTTGACTTAATCTTGTAAACAATTCTGCTGTGCCCTTTGGTTTCCCCAGAAGGGAAATGCTCATCAGGAACTCTGGTGCCTCACAATCCTGTGAACTTTGGTCATACTCCATTCAGTGTCCAACTTTGTGGAAGGATTCTAATTTTTGTCTACCCTCACAGAGATGCCTCACTCAATTCTCTACTTTATTATGTATTTCTTGAAGTCTGGTTATCACAGTTTAGCAATATTTCCAAAGCTTGAGGAAATAAACACAGCAATAAATATTACTATGAGAGACAAAGAGTGATGGAGCCAGAGTCAGAGAACTGACAAGTACTATTCGCAAACCAACTCTTGGAACACAGCTGATAGGATCATCACCAGGTAGTATAGGGTAAGGGCTGGAAGCACAGACTCCAAAACCAGAATGCCTGGGCTTCAGTCCCAGCTCAGCCACTTACAAGCTGTGTGATCTTGAGCAGGTTAACCTGTGCCTCAATTTCTTCATTTTGGTTGTTGTTAGTATTTCGTAAATTAATGTATATAAACTACATACAAACGGCCCAGCAGGCAGTAAGTGCTACATGCAGGAACTATCATCATCATCGTCATTGCCCAATATGAAAAGCCTGTTCACCAGTGAAACCCAGAACCTGAAAATGTATTTGTCTCTATGCAGCTGGATGCCTTTCCTTTTGGACGAATTCACATAGCAATTACATTTTTAATACATATTCACTGCATAACAATGCAAAGAATGTTCATCCTAGGAAGTGCTCAGGATTTCGAAATGTGCGTTTCTGAAGCACGCATTTGTTTTCAGAGTGGAATCCATTCATCTTCTGGTTGAACAGAAGAAATTACAAATTCACTGACATGCACCGTTTAATAGGGGATGGCATTTTAGATGTGGCTGTAGTTCATCTTGACAGGGCTAATGTAAGGCATTGGAAGCCTGCATGAATTAATTGAAAATCCTATTACAAACTTGGCGACAAATAACTCTATTCACAATTATGGCCTGTTCTCTTGATTTTTTCCCCACCTCAATTTGCTCTGTTTGGCCCACTCTGCCCAAATCTGAGCCAGCCAAATCCATGCACCAAGACACAGATTCAGCACTCTTAGAAACCATTCTGAACTGTCCTTGAAAAGATCTGTACAATTCCAAACAACCCACAGTATGGCTCTTTTGTGATATGCTGATGTGGGAACTGAAGGAATTTATTTCTTTACAGATCACTGCTACACACCAGTGGCCCAATGGACTTAATAACTTTTTCGCCAAAGCAAATCTATTGATAGTTCCTAAAACCATCAAACATTCTTAAAACAATGAGTGGCAAGAGTAAAACATATGATAACGGTGATATAGATTATGGTTGGCCCAGTTACATCCTTGTGACTGCAACGTAAAATTCATTACTTCACACCAACTTGCTAAATCTTGACTACTAAAGTTATTTCCATGATCAATAACCACAGAGAAAGAATCATAAAGCTTCTGGCAGTCTAACCCATGAGCAGACATTAACGCATCTGGCTGTGTTTATCTATGGTGTTCTTTTTCAATTAAATTCTAAGAAGCTAAAAAGCCAGTTTGTGTCAAGTTTCTCCAAAGAAGGTTTCCCACATTAAATAAAATGAATTCTACTCTGATTTCAAATCAAGCAAAGTTCAGTGATCTTTAAAAGACTTATTCCCACGCAGCCTGCAGATGATTAAGGATAAACGGTTAAACGACTTGGAAGAGCAATAAAAGAACACATTTTCCTTTTGCAATATCTGAAGGATAAAGCCAAAACAATTGGTTTGATAGCCTAGGACTACTCCTGTGGGTAAAATATGTCCAGAGCCCACGGAGACCCTGCCTTCTCATTCATCTCCTTAGAAAGGTCTGTGAGTCATGTCATCACCCGGGCCCTCTGCCCTCCATGCCTTCGCCAGGCTTTCCAAACTGCTGCCTTTCTTCTGTATCCTCTCATCAGGCCAAGGCCCCCGAGGATCTGCAGAGCTTACATTTCACTTGGCTACACATAAAAGGGAGGCTTAAAAGGAGAGAAAGCCAGAGAGAACCGACTCTGCAGTCTAACCTTGGGTTTGCATCTGTCATTCATGCCGCCAGCATTATCAAAAATCTTGGCAACTTAGACAGGTGAAGTATTATAACAATTCTTAATCTAAAATACATTTCAATAAACAGTGACTATTTTGCTCACATAAAAAAAGAATAAATATGACAGTGGGCTAGTTTCACTTTTCAAATAATTTTTGCTTCTGTTACAAATACAGGTATATTATATGACATTAAAATCCTTGTGAGACCTACACACAAATATTTTTGATTAAATGCTTTACACTCCATTTCTGTACCATCAAGTGTATTCCAATATATCTGGCAAAGTACTACTTGATGATCTAGCTGAGATTCTAACAGGTAAATAAAACATTCACTGCTAATTTATTTTATAGACTCTAAATGCCAATGCTCAGATATATATGCAAGACAGCCTCTTTAAATTCAAATTCCTTCATGCATTTCTTACTGCTCCATAAAGTAAAAAAGATTCAATGACCTACTAAAAAGAATATCTAAAAGATACTCCTGTCATGGGAACAGCAATAAAATGTGCACAATTTAATAATTTAGTTATATCTAAATTGGCACAAATGCTGGCTGATTCCAACTTGACTTTCAAAAATTTTCCAGAAAG